CCATCCCAAGTCAACAAGGATGATGGTGATGGGGGTGGGGGTGGAGGAGGAGAAGAATACACTCTTAACTGAAATCCAGGGAAAAAAAACTTGTGTCCTCACAGCTAAGTGGAAAATCTATGCATCTTCCTGCCTCAAGAATGACACCCCTATCCCTACTTCTTGGTTTCCTAGGCCTAGCTGCTTCCTCCTCTTCCTCCTCCCCCCTCCTCCTCCTTCTCCTCCTCCTCCTCCTCCTCCACCTTCCACCCTTGTGCCCCACAAAACTCTGGCTCCTGAGACCTTCTTCCCTACCACCATCCTTCTGAATGGCCTTTGACAGGGTGACTCCCTGTTGCATCAGTGTTTACCCTAACCTATCCAGCAAATTTGAACTTATCTTTCACCGAATTTGCAGAGCTGCAGGAGTGCCAACCTCCTGTTCAGGAAATGTGTTGCCTATCAGCTTGCCCTTTTGCATGGTTTCATAATGCTCCCCCCTCGGCTCTTTAGTCTTTGCCATTATGCTTGCTATCCTTCTGAGTGGTCCTTTATTGGAGCACCCTCATTTTGACCTGGACTCTGCTTTTTTGGTTTAGCAGTGCATAAATATTGCATTTGTTTTACTTGGCAGCATTACATGCAAAACCCCAGGGATTTTTTTCCCCTCAGTGGGGGAACATTGTTCTTTGCCTAGTTCGATTTATTCACATCTCATCCCACTCCATTTCTTGGACCCCGGTGCTCAAAAATTCAGGTCAGCTTTCAAACCGATCAAATCTTCAGTCATATCTGTAACTTCCCATCAAGGGTCAGCCTCAAATTTCTGCTTCACTTGCAATCTTCTTCAACAACCTGACAACCCTCCCTTTATAAATGATCACTTCCCTTAAAATCACTGCCAACCTTTATAATTCCTTAAAGATATTGGATAAGGTAAAGTGAAGATGATTCCAGATGTCTCTCTAGCAGATTTTACAGCTATTTAAATAGAATTCCTCTCCATGTTCCAAAGAGCACCTTAAATTACATCCTCCTTGCTATTGATCATGCTCCTCATCAGATTTCTACATTCTGCTTCTTACTACAACCCAGAGAACAACCCCCCTCTTTCCCTCCTCCACATTTTCCACCTTAGGAGATATCACAGACCATCAAATACCGATTCCTTTCTTTTATCCTCTTGCAACCATCATTTCCCCATAGCTGTTTAAAAATGTGTGCATCCCCAAGCAATGAAATAAAAATTCATATATATATTTTTGCTCCATGTAAAGGGGCATTTTCAAACAGGCTTCCCTTGCCTACAACACCATCTTTACAACATGCCCACCTGCCATTTGCACTGGGGAAGGGGAGGGCTGGTGGTGATGAAGATGGATTTTCACCCCCCCCCCCTTTTCTTTAATACAAAAGATGGTTAAATTGAAATAAGCCCCTTCCGTTTGGGTTGCCGGCTGCCCCCTCCCCAGCTCTTGTGCTAAAAAGCTTCCCGCTTACCTTGTAGAAGAGACGGGGAGCAAAGCAGCAGCAGCAGAAGAGGCATGTTGGGTCCTGCTTTTTCCAAACAGCGCATTTTGGATTTCTTCAGACCTGCAGAATACCTAGTCTGGCTATTTCCTTCTCCTGCCAGGCAAGGGAGCCGTGGAGCTAGGAGTCTGCTTAGCAAATGAAAATGCAGTAGCTTCTTTGCAAGGGCTAGTTCTGTAGGATTTTTCTCTTTTGCCTTTCCAAAGCAACCTAGGCTTTTTCTATTTGTGTTTTGGAAATGTGCCTTTTCTGCAGTCTGCTCCTGCTTGCTGCATAACTGATTAACTGTGTTATCTGGACCCCCTCTTCCCTTTTCGCTTATAGAAAGAGAAATGCAATGGACTGCTTCCTTTCGGTGAAATTATTTTTGAGAGGAGGCCTGATGTCAGGCCTCTTTAACCCAGAACCCCTCTTTTTCTCTCGTTGAATGGAGAAACAGGGGAGCCCAAAATGAATTTATTTGTGTAAGAAAAGGCATTGGATCCTTCTTTCTCTGCCACCTACATACCCGTCTGGAAAGTCATCTATAGATATATTGCCATTGCCATGTAGTTTCTCTTCTCTGTTCCTTTCTTGCAATAGATTCTTGTACCAAACTAGGAAAAACTTGAATAAGAATAGAAGGATATCGTGAACGGTTCTTTTTTAAAAAAAATGTAAAACCTTCAGTGGTTTGGCAAAGCAACTCTCTCTCTCCCCTTCCCCTTCTGTCCTTGACAATGAAACGCAATGTCTTTTTGCAGATGCAATTTGGATGGGATCTACACATTATTCTGAATATTAGAGAGAAGGGGAAATATAAATCTACACCCCCATCCTAGCAGATGCCCATAAGTATAGGTTGAAAGCGCAATATGGAAAATAAATTACGTTATTTTTTTTAAAAAAAAATGAGGAACATAATGTATGTAACAATCCGTTCCTATAAAAAATACAGCTTCCTGATTTGCCAAGCTAATATATAAATAAATCTCCTTTTCTAGATAATAAAGGGAAATTGTTCAAGGCCTATTCTCTTACAGAAAATAAACCCTCTATGGAGGAAAACAGATGCAAACTTTATTAGTGAGGTTGCAAATCTTATTTCATGATTTGTAACCTCACCTCCCACAAGAATTCAGGTTCGCCTGATTTACCAGTTGCGCCCTTTTCTGGACCGGGACGCTCTGCGCACAGTCACTCAGGCCCTCGTCACCTCCCGCCTGGACTACTGTAATGCTCTATACATGGGGCTCCCTATGAGGAGCATCCGGAGGCTTCAACTGGTCCAGAATGCGGCCGCGCGGGCGGTGTTGGGAGCGACGCGTCGCTCCCAT